ATTTTCCCTGAACAGAGACGCTGCCAGTGAGGAGTGTTTCCTATTTGTGCGTCTTCAACAATAGTCGTGTTGTTTTAAGGCTTTCGGTTGAGTCTGGTGTCATTTCCTGGAAGCTGAGGCGATGATCTGTTCTTGGGACCAGACGTGGTGACCTCAGCTCACTGGCACCAAACGTCCAGAGAGCTGAACGTAGGAGCAGCACACGGCGCCGTATGGAGTCTACAGCGAGAACAGGCCGGTTAGCGGAGGTGGACTCACCATGTCGGAGTCCGTGGATGCCGGTCAGGGTGCCGGTGAGGCCGCCGGCGAAGCCCCGCCCCCCGCCGTCCCTCCGCTGGCTCAGCGTGGAGATGAAGGTGCCCAGAGACGGGAACGGCTGCTTGGCTCCTCGACCCAAACCCTGCCGGGAGACAAAGAGCCGCATGAGCAGCAGAAGGATGAGTTCTGGTCCACAGACACAGTGACGTCCACCTTAAAGACGCTCATATGATCTTCAGCTGCAGTCGGTCCAAACTCTGAACCTTCTGGGTCACTAAAGCTTCATGGAATTAGTTTTGTTTTTGTTTTTTATAAAAGATCTTCAGGAAACATGACAGAATCTGCTTCAGCCTTGTTTTTAAATTCAAACTAATCATTGTAGACAAAGTTGAATCATAAAAGCCACATATCAGAGACTTACTGTGTAAAATAACAAAACCTGGACCACAGTCAAGCTTCATGAATGTATTCAATCAGAACTCAGGAAACTGATTCCTCTGAACTCTGATCAGTTTCTGGAGGTTTTTTCACTCCTGTCACATAAAGTCCTGATTGTTCATTTCACAGAAGTGCCCACAAGGTACCGACACTGGAACAAGTGCTGACTCTCCATGGTACTGATGTTTTACCACTGATCCACGGTGCTGAATGGATCCTCCACTGATCAGAGCCGCGCTGCATTTATTGTGTCTTTGGACTGTCTGACACATACACCGAGAAGTTTTTGCTTTTTATTGTCTGCTTATTGCAAACTGATGATTTTTGTCACATTTTGTAGTAAAACATCACATTTTAAGGTTGGATGTGATGCTTCCAGACAGAACAACAGCTCACACACAGAACATCCCTGGACTGTGTGAAAGTCCAACATTTAGGGATCGTTTCTGTTTCTACAGCCTCTGGTTCTGATAAACGGACTCATTTAGACGATGAGGACACAAACAGAGCTGCTGATCAGAGGGTTCAGAGGTGAATCCAGCTCATCTGTCATACATCTGATCATGTCTGAGCGTTAGTGCTGCTTCCACCTGCTGACAGTCAAACAACAACACGATGAGCGACAGCAAAGCGCTGATTGTAAAAGCATCCAACAGAAAACCAGCCTGAACAACACAGAGCAGCTCCGGCCTCCAGGCTGCTCGGCTCACTCGTAAAGTCACCAAACCCTCGCTGTGCATTCTCCAGCGCTGAGGTTTCTCACCAGAAGGGAAGGAGAGCTTCAGCTGCATGAGCAGACAGTGACAGCATCACCCACAACTAAACGGATTAACAGAACATGGAGCGAACGCTCTCGGTGATTAATCACCTTCCTGTCCTTCGCTGCTTCAGACGAGTCGAGAAGGGAAATCACAAGACAGACAAAGGATGAAGGTAGGTGAGCAGGGAGCTAGGAAATAAGAGAAGGAAGAGAGGACAGAGGGCAGGAAAGGAGGGATCAGAGAGGGGAGGACGGGAAAGTAATGAAGATAGGACGGGAGGGAAGTGAGGAATGAAGACGGAGAAAAACAGGAGGAGGAGGATATGAGCAGGAAGACATGGAAATGAAAGGATGGATGGAGGGATGAGAGGTGGACGGAAGAGGAGGAGGAGGAGGAG